CCCCCACACGGATCTAGATCTCTCCCTCACACAGGGCTCAATCTCTCTCCCACACAGAGCTGGATCTGTCCCTCACACAGGGCTCAATCTCTCCCCCACACAGAGCTAGGTCTCTCCCTCACACAGAGCTTGATCTCTCCCCCACACAAAGCTTAATCTCTCCCCCACACAAAGCTTAATCTCTCCCCCACACAAAGCTTAATCTCTCTCTCACACAGAGCTCAATCTCTCCCTCACACAGAGCTCAATCTCTCCCTCACACAGAGCTCAATCTCTCCCCTGCACAGAGCTCAATCTCTCCCCCGCACAGAGCTCAATCTCTCCCCCGCACAGAGCTCCATCTCTCCCCCACACAGAGCTCAATCTCTCCCCCGCACAGAGCTTGATCTCTGTCCCCTCAGTGGCCTCGATCTCCTCTGTGCTGCTGTCTCACCACCGACTGCCAGAGACCTGCTCCATGCCCCCAGCCGCTTGCATGCTTCAGACTGTGAAGAAGCAGCAGTGCCACCGACTGCCAGAGACCTGCCCAGGCTTACCAGCCGTCTCATGGCCAACCAGCAAAGTCCCCGCTCCAGACCCCCAGCCGCTGCCATTGCTGCCACTGCCTCCACGACTGAGTTCCCTCCAGAAGGTTAGTTAAAAAAAAACTAAAAAAAGGAAGAAAAAAGTGAGAAAAGAAGAAAGAAAGAAAAGAAAAACAGCCAAAGTGGACAAGTCCTGGCTCAGGAACCCTACTCCACACAGAAATTGCCAGTTTATATAAAGATGTTAAACCAGAAAACCAAGTCTATGTCAAGTAAAAAAAACAGAAATTTCTTTAAAAACTCAACAAGTCTGGCAGCATCTGTGAAAAGAAATCAGAGTTAATGTTTCGGGTCAAGTGACCCTTCCTCAGAACCAAGTCCATGTCAAGTAATTTGCATCTTGTGTTTCATATCCCACTTAAGTGGTAATTCCACATGTTGGGAGAGGAAAGATTGCCTGTAAATTATCTAGACTGCAAGAAAACAATGAACCCAGACACAAGAACACAAATCAATGGTATTTCAACAACTGGTTTTGAGTCGAGAGTAGAGACAAGGAGAAATGAATTTGTGACAATCAGAGCCGGAACCCCTTCCCTGTTTTCCTTATCATCTTGGAAAACAGTGCTCATTGAAAAAACAAATTGGGAAAACACTATTCACCAAGATCTAATAAATAAATGTCACCACTGCTGAAGATACCAGTCAACAATTAAACACCTGAGGTTTCAGGTTAAAAATCCAACACCTGAAGGACTCTAAGCATGAGAGAGGAGATTTTATTTTAAAATATTCATTAACGGGATGGGGGCATCACTGGCTAGGCAGCATTTATTGCCCAAAGGCAGTTCAGGTCAACCACATTGCTGTGGGCCTGGAGTCTGTGGGCCAGACCAGGTAAGGATGGCAGTTTCCTTCCCTAATGGACATTAGTGAACCAGATGGGTTTTTCCTGACAATCTTAATTCCAGATATTTTTAGTGAATTCAAATTCCACCGTCTGCCGTGGTGGAATTCAAACCCAGGTCCTTGGAACATTATCTGGGTCTCCAGATTAATAGTCCAGCGATAATACCACTAGGCCATTGCCTCCCTTAAAGGGAACATTCTCACTAGGATATTTCCTGGGCTGCAGTATTTCAGCTATGAAGAGAGATTGGACATGGTGGGGCTGATTTCCTTAGAACAGAGAAGACTGATGGGGGATCTGATTGAGATCCACAAAATCATGAGGGGCATAGATGGTTTAGATTGGAATAAATGTTTCCCTTTAGTAGAGAGATCAAGCAACCAGGGCCATAGATTATGGTAAGGGACAAGAGGTTGAAAGGGGATTTAAGGAAGAATTTTTTTCATCCACAGAGCGGTAGAGGCAGGAACCATGACAACATTTACCAAGTACTTAGATGAATGCAGGAAGTGCTGTAGCATACAGGCCAAGTGCTGGAAAATTGGATAAGTATAGAAAGGTACTTGTTGACTGGCATAGATATAGAATAGAATCCCTGTAGTGTGGAAACAGGCTCTTTGGCCCAACAAGTCCACACCAACCCTCAGAGCAGCCCACCCAGACCCATCTTCCTAATCAACACATCTCTGAACACTATGGTCAATTTAGCATGGCCAATCCAACTAGCCTGCACATCTTTGGACTATGGAAGGAAACCGAAGCACCCGGAGGAAACCCACGCAGACACAGGGAGAATGTGCAAACTCCACACAGACAGTCGCCTGAGGGTGGAATTGAACCCGGGTCCCTGGCGCTGTGAGGCAGCAGTGCTAACCACTGAGCCACCTTGCCACTTCAATGCCT